TAATACAATTCAATACATTTACACTGCAGCGATTAATCTTGATTAAATTTATATAATTTATATTATGCTAATTTAATTTTTATTATTTTCAAATTTCTAATTAAATTACAAATTAAAAACAATTACATGTACAACTTAATTAACATTACATTTGGGGGTATTATAGAAAATATTGGTATTTAACGTAACGTTGTTTGTGAACGACAGTCAACACAAACCCTCAAATGAAACGGATTTTGATTTAAATATTGAATCAATTGTTTACAACTTCTTGGGATCAAATCGACGATCGGATCAATCCGTTAGTGATTTTAATCACTGGAAGAGAAATGCCGTCGAAGTCATTGTCACGAGTGGTGTTGTCTGTGAAGACAGTGCGTCCAGAAGTGAAGGACCACTGGTTGCCAATACCGGCCGAAGTGCTGACCATCGATGGTCTCATCCGACACATACTCATCAAAGAGTTCATCGACAAAGACATGGATGACGTGGAGCTCTATCTATTCGCCGATCTTCTTCGCGGCGACACATCCGTCGCCGAAGTCCTGAGAGATAGAGATCGCATTGAATTGCGGCTCAAGACAACCGCCACCGCCGCCGATGGACACCATAAACAGCGGATCAACTCATTGGCCAACACTTCCAGTGATAAGAAGCGGAAGACTTCGTTTACAATTGCTAAACGGTTTGTCCATTACTTGTTATGATATGATTGTCACTCCAGTTGTTCTCCACACAGAGATCATAGCGAAGACTCGCCGGACAGCGCTGTCGGACACACCGGTGATGATAGTCGGCGAACGGCTGATCGATGGCCGACCAAACGGTCCAAGAAGTCTATAGTGACGGCCAATCGGAGCCAAGAGTTGGTCAGCGATTCAGAGCTCAGAGTCGATGAACAACATGTGGTGACCAGCAGTGGTCTCGTCGAGAGTCGCCGCCCATCGCTGGACAACAAATGGTGATACTATTTGTGGTATTTAATGGTATAATTATCTTCTAATTACGATTCTTGTGGTCATCAGTTCCGGATACGAATCGCCGACCACTGCGTCGGCGGTCGAAGTGGTGGTGAAAGCGGAGAATAGGAAACCAAAGATCAAACGGAAACACAAACCACGGAAAGTGGCGACCAATGAAGCGGAGGACGAGACAAAGACTGATCCAATAGTGGTCGACAAAGAGAAGGTCAATGACGACGGGTCCGGAGCCGTTGCGCCCACTGATGGCGCCAGTGGTGGTGAGAATCGGCCAAAGAGTGGCCAAAAAATGCGGTGTGAAAGCGACGGCTGTGACTACAAGACCCGCAACGCTGCCGACTTCGCTGAGCACCAGTCCGGCCATAACAGCGCAGCCGCCGTCACCGACAGGCTATGGAAATGCGTGGTCAATGATTGCGGCAAAGGGTTTAAGCAACTCAAAGGTCTGTCCGAACATCACCTGCGAGTACATCCCAATGAGTGCCCAGACATGCCGTGGATTGAATGCTCGCACACCGGCTGCGCGTTTCGTAGCAAATCCAACGGTACGGTCAGTAAGCATCTGAAGGTCCACAATAAGACCTAATATGGATTTTGTTTGCCGTTAATAATCAGTGGATCTGGTTTTGGGATCCATTCCTCCACATCTAATATCATTATTAATTTTTATCGATGTTGTGATTCATTATTTGCATACTTTTATTATATAATTAAATACTAGTTTCCAATAGTTTAGTTAATTGTAAATTTTATAGTTTATTATAACTTCTAATGTATTAGTTTTCTGATTATTAGATGTAAAGCATGTTTAGCACAAATTGTGCTTAAAATAAAACCATTACTTTTCTTAAAATTCATTATTTGAAAGTTTTAATTAGTTTTTAAATTAGATTTAATTATTTTGTAATCTTAACCACAGATATCGGGAAATAAGGGTAAATGTTATAATTGTTTGACGTTTTTGTTTGCATTGTTTGTGTCAATCACTATAAACAATGTTAGCATTGATTACAAGATATGACTCATGAGTTTCAAAATGCACATCAATTATTGAAAGCGAGAAAACGATTCGGCCCCTCAATCAAGAAGTCGAGGACGCGATCCTACCCCTCAAGTGATGGACTCATCCAAAGTTTTCGTCGATTTCATCATTTGTTTTATTCAACATTTTAGTCAATTATTAGTCAAAGAGTTTTTATAATATAACTCTTTATTTGATATAATTTTGTGTTATTTTTTTTTGATCATCGATTACTTTTTTCATTGTATTGTTTTTTTTGTAACTTTAAAACCAATGTTAGGCTTAACTCTCATTAATATTGGTTCTCGCATTTCACTCAAACACATTCCTAAACTTTGTATTGTTTGAGCTATAGTTGCAATACTGTCGGCGAGCATCAAAGGAGTGGCTATTAATTTGAGCCAATTTTTTATGTTTAAATCCGGGTTGAAATCCAGGACTACTTTTAACTTTTGCTGTTTTATATGCTTTTAATGTAAGTTTGGCGCTCGACGAGAGACAGTATGGTTTGGGACTTTGAAGAGAGAAGTCCAGTATTTTTTTTGAGTCATTTTTGATTAACACTTAAATTTAACTTCATTTTAAATATGTTTTAAATACTTTTAATCGTCGAAACTTTTGTCTTTAAATTGTTTTTAACTTTGTTTTGTATTAATCGACGAAAAACTTTATAAAAACTTTAATAAAAGTCAATTGTTTAAGAGATCGCGTGTTTTGTGTGTCGGGTGTGGCATAAGGCCACTGATGAGGAGATAAGATAATCTTCATAGTCATAGACAATCACCACAAGCGGTAGTTTCGGTGGACATTGAGGTTATAGTGAGATAATCGTCGATAAAAATAGGAAATATAGTCAGAGTTTGGCCTAAAGGAGGGATAGTCGGGAGATATAGTATAGTCTTATGAGATATACCTGTAGTCTGAGTCGATGAGTCCGTGTCCTGAGAGTTCAAACTGAGCTACACTTTCCCCAAAGTATTGTCGAAGAGTTCACTGTAATCGGGAAGTAGTTCCGCGGCTACATTATTGACCACTTTTTTTGACAATCAATTCATTAATTGATTATTAAATAACACTTTAAACACAGTCTCAACACAACAACTCACGCGCCACTCAAGACATCACTCCAACTGATCCACAAGAATGACAACTAATCCTATATTAGTGTTGATATCGATGAACACGTTGTGTCCGGAAGTGGAGGACTATTGGCTGTCAATACCACCGACAGTGAAGACCATCGATGATCTCAAACGACATATACTGACCACTGAATCAATCGATAGATCCGCCGATGATATCGGTCTATATCTCGAAAGTGCTTTACTTCGAGATCACATATCCATCGCTGGTATTAAAGACAGAGATTATATCGAAATTCGTGTCAAATGTTGGATCAGCTCTTCGGTGGACAACACTTCGGAACACAAGAGATGCCAAAGTTCTGACACTGAATGGTAAGTTTTGAGATAATTTATCGTTTGGTTTATCACTTGATTTGTTCCCATATATTCTTAGCATAACTATCGATGATTCCGACGACGATATGGTTGGCAACGGATCCGATGTATCGGCTCTTAAAAGGACTCAAAGTTTAGCCCCAAAGACCACCGAAGAATTAATCGATGAGATCAAGAGGTATCACATATTTGATCCACTAATTAATAGCCAATCACAAGCCAGCGGTCATCTCAATCCATCAGTATATTCCTCCACATCTCTCGCCAACAATTAGTAAGCGTTTGATTCAATGATAAACCACTTCTTATTATAACTACCATTTGTTTTGTTGCCAACAGTTCTCCCATAGAGTCGACCCAAGAAGTCACTGAACTTGAATCTCAGGCCCCAAGCGATTCGCCCTATAGTCCGAGTTCTCCGATCTATCCGACCGGTGAGGACGAGTGCAATCAGACCAGTCTTAAGGACATGTATGCCGTTAGTTCGCAGTACGGGTTATACGATTGGCCGTCACGACCGAACACTTCCACACCATTGACCGCTTATCGGTGAGGCATTTGATTCATTATCTACTGTTAGATATAATGATTGCCAATTTGTGGCCAATAGTGGCGACAAAGTGGTCACACAATCGAGTAACGAATGCTCGGCTAAAGGAATGGACATCACTCGCGACCATTCTTACGGCGGCACCAATTTGACAGACAATAAGCACGTGTTCATGGATTACGTGCCATATGGTGATCCATTGTATGGCAAACCGATTGCCACTGATTCGTGGTCACCATCGCATTCCTCCACAGCTTTTGCCGTCGATCAGTGAGTATTTGTCTCATTAATTACTGTTGGATATAATGATCGCAATGTGTGCGGCAATAGTGGCGCACATGTAGTGACACAATCGGGTAGCAAATGCTTTGCAAAAGACTTGCTGATGGACATGAGTGCGCCCGTGGGCTCTAAATCAGTGTATAGATGATTGTATTGGTCTGTTTGGCCCGACTGTTACTTTGCGACCACTCTTAATATACAGTTAATTGGCCACAGATGTGGTCACTCGCCTGCTGACCATCTATTTATGTTTGAAATATAATTAAAACTACCGTAATGTTTTTTAATGTAGTAATTTTTATTATTTTTACAAATGATTTAGTACCTAACTAATTATTATTATTAATTGTAAACATTAATTAAATGTATACTAATTACCAATTATTTAATTACAAATAGAGACATGTCTTACGGACAGTCATCGCCAGCCATAGCAACAGTTCGGGCCAGTGATGGGTCGGCCCAATGGGATGAGGAGTCCTGCAATGGATTTAATCCACTATCACCCGGGGATCAGCTCTAATGAGCACTCGCTTTATAACCCGCACAACAATAACACAACAATTAAACGTAAACTACTTTAAAACATGTTTATTATTGGCCCGTATTTCGCATTCAAATCAATACAATCGCAACCGTTATATAAAACACAATACAATTAAAAGTAACTACAATTAAAAGATTGCAAATCGTATCGTTTGATCGCAAACAACGCCTCCAAAGGCTAATCGCAGACTGAGCTCTCGATGGGATGGGAGGCACGCCTTATATACAGTATTAGTGACTAAAAACATAAGTAAAACGTTTAGGAAAAGTACGAGTCTTACGACACGTGTGGGAAATACAGAGACAGTGAGTGAGTGTTAGGCAAAAGCTGGCAATAGATGGCCACAACTCCAGTACAGTCCGTAGCACTCGCGGCCTATGTTAGAGGCCTATCATCGACGACAGGCAACCATCACGACCTCCGCGAGCAGATCCACGCGTTGACGGGCGAGAAGATACGTCTGGCGGAGGAGAACATCCATCTCAGAGCAGACACACTGTATTGGGAGATGAGGTGCGCCCGCGAGGGCCGCGAACTGACCGATCGGGTGAACGCTCTGACCGACGCCAACCTCAAGGCCTACGAAGAGAGGGACGAATTGGCGGCAAAAGTGTCTAAAATGCAGAAATTGTTGCGATATTATCGACAAAAGGTGGTGAGACTGACGGAGCCGTACCGCGAGTTGAACGCCCGCAACGACCGGTGCCGGCGTTTGGAGCGACAGATCCGGCGACTGCTGGCCGACAAAGTGGTGTCGACGGCGAAGTTGGCGCTCAAGAGCGAGGAGTTGGCCGGTGTGTCATTGGCTAAGGATCTGGTGAGCATTGAGAGGGACCACTTGACCGCCAAATTGGACGCTGAGACCCGTCGGTGCCATGAGTTGGAACAACAGATACGTGAGCTGACCGGCGGCCCGAAGGATAGTACTCCAACCCATATCGGTTTCAATCGATTGATTCTCTCAGCGGCGAGGGGTCGGCCACATATACCGGCCGATTGATTGGTTAATGGGTTCCCGAAATACAATGCGATTTACTTTATTATAATATCTTTGACTAACTATTGATTATACGATTTATAAATTAAATTAGGATCCATTCCTCCACATCTATTTGGGATATTATTTCAATTATCACAATTAATTACTTATTATAAGTTGATAACTTTGTTTTGATGGTTTATTACAATGAATTATGTTATTTTGTGCATTAGTTTATAATTTAAAGTTATATAACTGTAATCATGCTGTAACTCATTTATTAATTTGATAAATTTATAATAGTTCTAATAATTCAATTAATATTTGGTTAAATTTATACAATTATAATAAAGTTTTCAATACAATCCACACATTTAATTGATTTTATTTTAAGTTATTAACTAAATGTGACCATGCTTATTTAACATTTACCATTGACTTATAAAGTAGTCAAATAATGTTTGAATGATTTAATTAAACATTTTACAAATTTATTATAATTGATAATTAAAGGACATTAAAATAAATCCATTAATTTAGTTTAAATTTATATTTCAAGAGTTTTAATTACTTTAAATTAAATTTAATTAATTTGTTATTTTAACCACAGATGTCGGCAAAAGTGATAATTGTTTGACGTTTTTGATTGTATTTGAGTCAATAATTAATGCTTTAAAAGCTATTAAAATTGATTTGACTATAAATAACGTTAGCATTGATTAAGAGATCAGAGATTGAAAATTTCAATTTGAAATGACTTCTCAATTATTGACCACTTTTTTGACAATCAATTCATTAATTGATTATTAAATAACACTTTAAACACATTTTCACACAACAACTCACGCGTCACTTAAGACATCACTTCAACTGATCCGCAAGAATGACAACGAATCCCATATTAGTGTTGCTGTCGGTGAACACGTTGTGTCCGGAAGTGGAGGACTATTGGCTGCCAATCCCTCCCGACTTGAAGACAATGAGTCATTTGAAACAACATATACTGATCACTGAATCAATCGGTGGATCCGCCGATGATATCGGTCTGTATCTCGAAAATGGTTTACTTCGGGACAACACATCCATCGACTGTCTTCGAGGCAGAGATTATATTGAAATCCGTGCAAAACCTGCGGCCAAACGTTGGATCAACTCTTCGGCGGACAACACTTGCGAGCAAAAGAGGCGCAAACGTGTTGACAATGAGTGGTAAGCGTTGAGATAATTTAGCATTTGATTTATCACTTGATTTGTTCCCAAATCGCAGCGTAACTATCGATGATTGCGATGACACGTGTGTTGGCAACGGATCCGGTGTTTCGACTGCCAGAAGAATTGATAGTTTGTCTCATATTTTATCGGCGAAGACAACCAGAGATACGGTCGCAGAAGTGATCGAAAGTGTAATAGAGAGGCAGCGCTCATCTGATCCAATGGATAGCCAATCACAAGCCAGTGGTAATGACAATGCATTATATGATGTGACGGGTATCGACTTCGGGTAGTAGACGTTTGCTTCAATGATATACCGCTTATTATAATTACCATATGTTTTGTTAACAGTTGTCACCCCATAACTGATCCCTCAGAGACAGACAGTGATTCGTCGGTCTCTTTAGCGACTTCATCTGAATCTGAATCTCTGAATGTGAATCGCGTCCGACTGTCACCCGAAGAGGTACGACAAATGATGGCCACACCTGCCAACCAACATCTGTTCCCATGGATTGACCGCCGCTGAGACCAGTGTCTGACCCGATATTAGATTCGAGTGATTGGTTAATGAGTTCCCGAAATACAACGCGATTTATACTAAACACTGATTTCTGTTATTTCTCTTATTATCTATTGATTATACGATTTATTAACTTGGGATACATTCCTCCACATCTAATTTGGGTATTATTTCTATTATTATAATTAATTAGTTATTTATTAATAAGTTTATAATTTAGTTTTATATAATGCTATAATTAATTATTAAGTATATTTAAATATAAATTATGATTATTATAATGATGTGAACATTTGGGTTATAATAAAACATTTACTTTGAATACAACAGAGTCCAAATTATTTAATTAATTTTCTTATAATTAAATTAGATCATGGTCATTTTACATTTTACCACTAGCTCATAAATTGGTCAAAAATGTAATTTAATTAATAGTTTTGCAGATTTGTTGTAATTGTTGTTACGATGTATTCATTACGAGACATGAGATTCAAATGTCATTTTAATTGTTGACTACTTTTTTAATTACATCTATTCTTAAATAACACTTTAAACACTATATCAGTAAATATATCATTTATAACTCCAGACATCACTCCAACTGATCCCCAAGAATGACAACGAATCCCATATCTGTGTTGATTTCAATAAAGACTTTGTGTTCAGAAGTGGAGGACTATTGGCTATCAATACCGTCTGAACTAAAGACAATCAATGGTCTCAAACGGTTAGTTATGATCACTGAATCGATGTGTGGATCCGGCGATGACATCGGTCTGTATCTCGAAAGTGGTTTACTTCGTGACAACACATCCATTTGTGATGTCCTTCGAGACAGAGATCGCATCGAAATTCGTGTGAAACTCGCGGCCAAACGGAGGATCAGCTCTTCGCTGGACAACACTTCTGAGCACAAGAGGCGAAAAGGTTCTGGCATTGAGTGGTAAGTGTTGAGACAATTAACACAATTGATTTATCACTCGATTTGATCCCATATTTATAGCGCAACAATCAATGATTCGGCGGACGAGTCGCTGGACAGCGGATCTAATGTCTTGTCTTTGGAAAGGAATCAAATCCAACGCAACGTTACATCCGCTGAAGAATCGACACTTCAGTATTTAAGTGATATGCAAAAGAATGACTCATCGGATCCAATGGGCATTCAATCAATAATAGCCAATCAAATTCGACAAATAAGAACAGATTCCTCCGCATCTGTTGCCACCAATTAGTGAGCGTTTCATTTAATGATACACTTAAATGATTATCATGTCTTTGTTGTGTCCAATAGTTTCCAATCGGTTGGAAAAGTGGCCAAAATATCGGACATTAATCGCGAAAGCGATGTCAAAGTTGACAACAAATTAGAGAAAAGTGAGAACAAAGACAACGCAAAGTCAGCGCCAGAAGTCAATGGCTGTGAATCTCGGGGATCAGCCACTGGTCAGCACAGTCTCTACCATTTGACTGATCATAAGCACATTTCATTTGATTCAATGTATAATGCATTTATGAAACCAACTGATTGGTTGCCACCACAGCGTTCCTCTACGCCATTGGCCCCGAAGAGGTGATCATTTGATTCCCAGTACTTACTGTTGAGTATAATAATTACAATTTGATGTCAATAGTTGTGATGCGCGTGAGAAACGGATGGAAATCACTGCGCCGATCGGTTCCAGCGAATCCGTGGCCCAGCCATCAGTCGCTGTCTACCGGTGCGATTGGCCCGACTGTGGCTACACTACCACTGATGGCCAATGGAAGTTAACCCGCCATAGATCTGGTCATTTGATTGCCAACCGATTCAAGTGCGCGATCGTTGGTTGCGACCAAACCTTCAGATATAAGTGGCAGAAAAACAAACATCACCTGATAGTACATCCCAATGACTTTCCGTACATACCGTGGATCAGGTGTCCGCAAAATGGCTGCAGTTATGCAGTTAAACGCCATTCAGATATGAATAAGCACTTGAAAATACATTTTAAGTAATGGTCACGTGTTTGGATGCGCTCTTGTCTTCAGATATTCTTCCACTTCTATTTTATATCTGAAATTTTATGTAAAATTTAAAATTGTTTGTAAATTATATTAAATTTTAAATTAAATGTTATTTTTGTAAACTTTTTATAAGTTTTACTGATTTATGCGTTATTTGTGAGAAAATTGTGAATTTTATAAAACACTTTGTCATTCAATTTGTTGCAAAAATTATTTATTAATTTCACATTTAATTTACTCTTTAACTCATATTTTTAGCCACAAATTATAGCACAAGACACCACATCCGCACCACAAGAATGTCATCCAATTCATTGTCTATATCGGTGTCAGTAAAGGCGTTGCGTCCAAAAGTGCTCTATTGGTTCACATTTACAATACCTCCGGCCGTGAAGACCATCACTCAACTCAAACAATATATACTCGCCATTGAATCCATTGATATAAACTTGGATGACGTCGAGCTCTACCGTAACGACGGCCCACTCTGTGACAACTCATCCATCGGTGATGTCATTCGAGACAACGATTTCATTAAAATAATGCCCAAATGTGGCGATAAAAAGCTGAACAACTCATCGCTGGCCACGTGTTGCATATGTCTGGACCCGTTTGACAGTCGCGGCGGCGCCGAAGACAGGACGATGTGGTGTAACCATCGGTTCCACAAGAGTTGTATCGACCAGTGGCTGGAAAAGCACATTATGTGTCCGCTTTGTAGGCAGAGTTTGATCCCACAGTTGTGTACTGAAGAGGTCTTCACACGGAGACGGTGGCCAACGGTTACTCCCGGCCGATACTATCGCTCAAATCATTAACATTAGTCCACCGCTCGGACCCACACAATAGATGTCATACTATTATTGTTCTTATGTCCACTGATTTAGCAATTTTAATATCAAACAAAGTTTTCATTTATTTTTCTCTATTTTTATATTTTTCAATAATTAGTTTGAATTATGTTTTTATCAATAAATAAATTTTCTCATCGATTGTCTTGTGATAATTATTGGGTTGATATTCAGCCGAGACATAAACTCATATCAAGAACTGCAGCAATGGATTAGATGTCAAATAATGGCAACATTGGAAACATTGGCAACACATTAATGGCAACATTGGAAACATTGGCAACACATTAATGGCAACATTGGAAACATTGGCAACACATTAATGGCAACATTGGAAACATTGGCAACACATTAATGGCAACATTAAATGACATTTACCATGTGGTCAAACAGTAGATAAAAAGTATGAGAAAAGTTGCGTAAATCTGTTTTAATTGTTAAAACATTTATATTTATTACGAGACCTGAGATTCAAATGTCATATCAATTGTTGGCTACGTTTTTAACATTCAATTCATTAATCAAATATTAAAAAACACTTAAAATTTTTCACAAAATTAAGCAAATAAAACTCGAGACTTCACTGGAACTAATCCCCAAGAATGACAACGACTCGCCTATTAGTGTTGATATCGATCAAGACATTGCGTCCAGAAGTGGAAGACTATTGGCTATCAATACCACCGGTTTTGCAAACTATTGATAGTCTGAAGAGATTTGTTATGATGACTGAATCGATCGGTGGATCCGCTGATGATATCGGTCTGTATCTCAAAAACGGATTACTTCGGGACAACACATCCATTGATTGTCTTCAAGATAGAGATCACATAAAAATTCGTGTCAAATGTGCAGCAAAACAACGGATCAGCTCTTCGTTGAACAGTATTTCTAAAAACAGTGTGAAGTGTAAATGTTCTGTCAATGAGTGGTAAGTGTTAAGACAATTAGCAATTGATTTATCACTTAATTTGTTTCCATTATTCTCAGCATAACTATTGATGAATTTGATGCCGAGTCTGTTAACAACGGATCTGCCATTAAGTCGACGACAAAGTTGTCTAAAGAAGTAATGTATACCAAAGTTAGCCACAAATCGATGGCAACTGAAAACAAAGACAATCAAAAGTCAGCCCAAGAAGTCACTGGACATGAATTTCACGGATCAACCGGTGGTGATGAGCACAGTCTCTACCATCGAGAGTCCCAGTCCTTCCATGAGTTCAGTTTAAGAGATCTCAAGGAACTGTCAAAAGTTAACACATTTTATGGCCAACCAATGGCCAGCGATTGGTCGTCACCACAGCATTCCTCCACAGCTTTGAGGGTCACAAATGGGTGAGCGTTTGAGTCAAGTAATTACTGTTGAATATAATGATTATAATTCGCTACCAATAGTCGCGAAGAAGTGATCACACAATTGGATGCGATAAATAACCCACCGATCAATGGCAGCGAATCCATGACCAATGGGTCATCAGTCACTGTCTACCGGTGCGATTGGCCCGACTGTACCTTCACTACCAGCGCTGGCCAATCGGAACTGACGAGCCATAGATGTGGTCACGGGATTGACGTCCGGTATGTGTGTGTGATTAGCGGTTGCGGTCAAGTGTTCAACACGTTTAGTAAAAGAACTGAACATCACCTGGCAGTACATCCCATGGAATTCCCGGACGTGGCGTGGATTCACTGCTCACATGATGGCTGTCTGTTTGCCACTTAAAGTCATCATTTGAAATGTCATTCTTCAGCGAATTAGTGGTCAATTAGTTAACTGCGCTCTTGTCTTAAGATATTCTTCCACTTCTATTTATGTCAACATATATTTGGTTCAATTATTTAATTGTTATTTGTTATCAAATAAAGCATTTAATGTTTAATTAACTGTAATTAAGTAGTTATTTAAGTGTTTTATAAGTTTTACTGATTTATGCGTTATTTGTGAGAAAATTGTGATTTTTATAAAACATTTTGTCATTCAATTAGTTATGAAAATTATTTATTAATTTCACATTTAATTTACTCTTAAACTCACATTTAAACCACAAATTATATTACAAGATGAATATCAACCGCACCAGAAGAATGTCATCCAATCCATTGTCTATATCGGTGTCAGTAAAGGCGTTGCGTCCAGAAATGGACGACAATTGGCTGATTATACCTCTGGCCGTGAATACCATCGATGAACTCAAACAACATATTCTTTGGATTGAATGCATAGACGAAGACATCGATGTCGAGCTGTATCTGTCCGATGGCTTACTTTGTGACAACGCATCCATCGATGATGTCATCCGAGACGGAGATCACATCGAAATACGGATGAAAAAGCTGAACAACTCATCTCTGGCCAAGTGTTGCATATGTCTGGACCCGTTGGACAGTCGCGGAGGTGATGGCGGCGCCGAAGAGCGGACTCTTTGGTGTAGCCATCGGTTCCACAAACACTGTATCGATGAGTGGCTGAAAAGGGAGAGACAGTGTCCGATATGTAGACGCAAACACATCCCACAGATGGCCAGACGCGGCGGCGGACACTCCCGGCGCCCACAATACAGGGCCGCCCGTATGAACGCTAGCTATTATCCCGATTAACATATGTCATGTGATTTGTCGATATTTTTAACACCATTTGTAATTCATTTATTTTTTAATTGTAATTATTTTCTGTTTTTTATATTTTTTTCAATAATTAGTGTGAATTATGTTTTTATCAATGAATAAATTTTACTATCAATTTCTTGTGATAATTATTGCATTGATTTTTATACATGAACTTATCTAAGAACTGAAAGAATGAATTTAATGCTAAGACAAAGACAATAGAGAAGTAATTGTTTCAATGAATGACATTTTAAATTAAATATTTTAAATTTAATAACTTTATATTTGACTTTTACTAAAAGACTTTTAGTTATAAAAGTTATAAATTTACATTTAAGAGTTGATAATCACTGTATAACATGTTCCCATATATAACATGTTCCCATGTATAATTTACAATAATGCTTTTAAATCCGGGTCTTTTTAATTCCGTGTCCCTCTATTATTGGATGATTTTGTAGGTGTGTACAAATGATTTTTAGGAGCGTACAGTCAATGGGGGGCAGAAAGAGGGGGTACTCACGGAATTAAAAAGACCCGGATTTAAAAGCATTATTGTTAACTGTTGTGTCCAATCAATTGATGTGTTTTTTTATAAGTTTTACTGATTTATGCGTTATTTGTGAGAAAATCGTGAATTTTATAAAACATTTTGTCATTCAATTTGTTGTGAAAATTATTTATTAATTTTACATTTGATTTACTCTTAAACTTATATTTAGATCACAAGACATTACTTTCGCACCAGAAGAATGTCATTGAATCCAATGTCTGTATTGGTATCGATAAAAACATTGCGTCCAGAAGTGGACGACTATTGGCTATCTATACCGGCGGCCGTGAAGACCATCGATGAACTCAAACAACATATACTGTTCATTGAATGCATAGACCGAGACATCGATGTCGAGCTCTATCTCTCCGACGGCTTACTTCGTGGCAACGCTTCCATCTGTGATGTCATCCGAGACAGAGATAGCATCGAAATACGGGTCAAATGCGCGGACAAAAAGGCCGAAGCGATCCTCCAATGGATTCGGTAAGACATTGACACTCAAAGAGTGGCCACAAATTGACCACAAAATTGGTGGACAACTATAAATGTGTGGACTTTTACAGCGGATTCAATGAAACGCTTAAGATATCAAGTGATGCGGAGTACGAGTTGAAGAACCGGTGCCACGGATTGGACGCACTGTTGGCCGAGTGTCGGATCAATCCGAGAGACCAATTGACAGGTGTTATGGCTAATGCCGATCCTCTTGGAGGCCAAGTGCGTGACCGCGAAGAACTGCCACCATTTGTACCATAAATACTCGTTCAATTGGATCAACTGTTGTCTTGAAATATACTTTTCCACTTTTATTTGATTATAATTATAATTAATATGAAATTATATAAAATTGTCTCATTTTTTGTAAATTAATTAAATTTATTTATTCAATAATAACGTTAGCATTGATTACGAGACATGAGATTCAAATGTCATATCAATTATTGATCACTTTTTTGACATTCAATTCATTAACTAATTATTAAATAACACTTTAAACACCATTTTTCACAATAACTCACTTATAACTCAAGATATCACCGAAACTCATATCCAAGAATGACAACGAATCGCCTATTAGTGTTGATATCGATTAAGACATTGCGTCCAGAAGTGGAAGACTATTGGCTGTCAATACCACCGGTATTGCAAACTATTGATAGTCTGAAGCGATTTGTTATAATGACTGAATCGATCGGTGGATCCGCTGATGATATCGGTCTGTATCTCAACAATGGATTACTTCGGGACAACACACCCATCGATTGTCTTCGAGATAGAGATCGCATAAGAATTCGTGTCAAAAAGGGGACCAAACGGCGGATCAGCTCTTCGGCGGACAATCCCTCCGAGAACAAGAAGTGTAAATGTTCTGTCAATGAGTGGTAAGTGTTGAGACAATTAGCAATTAATTCATCACTTAATTTGTTCCCATTATTCTCAGCATAACTAGTGATGAATTTGATGCCGAGTCTGTTAACAACAGATCTGCCATTAAGTCGACGGCAAAAGTTGACATTAAATGCGAAAGCGATACTAAAATTAGCCCCAAATCGATGGTAACTGAAAGTAAAGACAATACAAAGTCGGTTCAAGAAGTCACTGGACATGAATCTCACGGATCAACCGCTGGCGGTCAACACAGTCTCTTCCATCGGGAGCCCCAGTCCTTCCATGAGTTCATTTGGAGAGATCTCAAGGAACTGACAAACGTTGACACATGTTATGATCAACTAATGGCCAGCGAGTGGTCGTCACCACAGCATTCCTCAACAGCTTCGAGGGTCACAAATTGGTGAGCGTTTGATTCAAGTAATTACTATTGAATAAAATGATTGCAATTCGTGGCCAATAGTTACGAAGAAGTTGTCACACAATCCGGTATAAAATGCGAGACAAACGACCAATCATTGAATGCCAGCGAATCCGTGGCCAATGGATCAGTCACTGTCTACCGATGCGATTGGCCAAAGTGTGCCTACACTACCACCGCTGGCCAATTGGAATTGATTCGCCATAAATGTGGTCATTGTATTGACGGCCAGTATTTCTGTGCGATTACCGGTTGCGGTAAAAAGTTTCCGAGACATAGCAGAAGAACTAAACATCACCTGTCAGTACATCCCAATGAGTTCCCAGACGTGCCGTGGATTCAATGCACACACGATGGCTGTCTCTTTGCCGCTAAAAGTCACCACAATATGAATAGTCATTTGAAATGTCATTCTTCAGTCAATTAGTGGTCAATTGTTTGGATGCGTTTTTGCCTTCAGACATTCTTCCACTTCTATTAATGCCTAAAATTGTATTAAAATTTTCTAATTATAAGTAAATTATCTTAATTTATATTTTATTTAATAAACTTTTTGGTGTTTTTATAAGTTTTACTGATTTATGCGTTATTTGTGACAAATTTTATAAAACACTTGTCATTCAATTAGTTGTGAAAATTATTTATTAATTTCATATTTAATTACTCTTAAACTTATATTTAGACCACAAATTATATCACAAGACATCGCTTCCATATGACAAGTATGTCATCGAATCCATTATCTGTATTGATGTCAATAAAGACATTGAATCCAGAAGTGGACGACTATTGGCTGTCAATACCGGCGACCGTGAAAACCATCGATGGTCTCAAACTACATGTGCTGACCAACGAATGCATCGACACAGACATCAATGTCCTCGACATACAGCTCTATAAGTCCAATGGTATACTTCGCGGCCAATCGTCCATCGCTGGTGTCATTCGAGACAAAGATCGCATCGAAATGCGGATCAAATGTAAATGTGTGGACAAACGGTCTAAGACTACTGTCACCCGACCGACACCTGTGGCCAGGGATGGACTGACTCCGCGATCGCCACTGACTCCGGCGGCCATTGACTCGCATTCCCTATCATTACTTCACGACTTCTATAAGACGCTCTCTAAGCAGATCCAGTCGCTGACCGCCAGTCAAAGAGAAACACTGATCATTAGAGACAGGGATGGATTGGCCGCGCAATTGACAAACAAGGATAATGAGCTTAAGAAGCAGACAAAGAGTATGTCCCAAGAGTTGGAGATCGAGCGCCAGCGTTGCCATCAGTTGCAGCAACAGATCCAGTCGCTGACCGCCGATAAGACATCGATCATCAAAACCAGGGATCTATTATGCGCACAAATGGCTGATAAGGATATTGAGCTGCAGAGACAATCAGAGATTTGGTCCGTTGATTATGAGTCCCAACGCCAGCGTTGCGTTGAGTTGCAGCAACAGATCCAGATGGTGAAAGCTGGCCACTCACTAGCCGTCAAAGAGTGTGAAAGAATGCCACAATTGATCGCACTATTGGCCACTGAACGCAATGAGCTGAAGAATATGGGCCGAGAGTTGGAGATCGAACGCAAACGTTGCTATCATTTGCAGCAACAGATCCAGTCGCTGACCGCCGACAAGACACTGGCCATCAACGAAAAGAACAAAATGGCCGCAGAATTGGCACAATTCAAGAATAGGGCAGTGATGGCGAAGAGTGTGGCCCAAGATATTAAGAGAAACCCCTTTGGTTACCACGACGTGAATAAAAAGTTGCATACATTGCCCACAGACAGGTCCCGCACACCGGTCTCCCCTTTGGCCAGACTTTCCACTCCCGGAACCCCTGGCCATCGGTTCGGAGCTGATCCCAGCGCTAAAGTATTTAACCAATCCGTACCGTCGGGGCATTGGAATCAACCCAATGTGCGGTTGTCTTAAGCGCATTCTTCCACTTCTATTTATGGTTAAAATTGTATTTATTATTAAATTATATAAAATTGTTTGATTTTGTTATAAACTTTAGTTAACTTTAACTCTAATTAAATCTATATTTAGTTAATAAATAACGTATTGTTATGTTATTTATGGTATGATTTGTGACACAAAACACATGTTTTTTGTTATGACTTTTGATTGAAAATTATTGAATAAATTGTTTATTAAATTAGTTTTGATTACAATTTGATTACAAATTCATACCACAAGACATCACTCGTGAACCAGAAGAATGGCATTGAATTCATTGTCTGTATTGGTGTCCATTAAGACATTGTGTCCAGAAGTGGACGACTATTGGCTGTCAATATCGCCATCACTGAAGACCATCGATGGTCTCAAGAGATCTATACTGACAGACAATTGCATTGTCAAAGACATGGATGACATCCAACTCTATCTCTACAACGGCTTACTTCGTGGCAACGCATCCATCGGTGATGTCCTCCAAAATAGAGATTGCATTGAATTGCGGGTGAAGTTTGCGAACACAAAGCGGATCAGCTCTTCGGTGGGCAATAATTATGGGAGACATAAGAGGATTAAAAGTTCTTCTATTAATTGGTGAGTATTTGGATCGTAAGACATGACAATCACTGCATTTGTTCCCATATTAAGCATAACTGTCGACGACTCCGACGACGAGTCAATGAGTGGCCGATCGGCTGTTCAGACCATTGTTAAGACAGAAAGCGGTTCCATGTCTTCGCCAAAAGTGGTCATCAAATCGGAGGTTATGAGCGAAACAGACGACACCGAAAGTGTTGACAAATCATTGAATGGCTGCGAAGACAATGTAAAACAGGAAGTAATAGTAAAGAGTGAGTCCAATATATCGTCGGCAGCGGTGGTCAGTGACGCCGAAGCCGCGCACCAATGGCTACCCTATAGCCAGCCGTGCGGGACATGT